CCAATAATTTGCAATAAGGAAATGAATTGTGACCAATTTGGGAGTCACAGTTGGTCGCGGAGGTGGTTGTGGTCGTTGTGACGGTTTGGTTGATTTGTGACTCACAATTGGATATGTGATTTGAAAATTGTGACTGTAACTCATAATTGGATACGTGACCTGAAAATTGTGACTATGAATTATAAGTGTTGGTAGTGGTCACAAATTATTTAGTTGACTGTAACAATTAAATTAGTTAATATGTGGCCAATAAATAATATGTGACCAATGAAAAAAATATATTGTGATAAAAAAATAATGTGTAACCTAAAAAATTGTTAATTTGTGACCGATAATTTTACAATTTGTGACTGTATAAGAAGTTATGACTTGTAATATTTGTGATCAGTAAATAAATTATGACTTATAAATTCTTCGATTTGTGACCGATGAACAAATTATGACCTATAAATTTTTTGAATTGCGATCGTAAAATAATTTGTGACATAAAATTTCGGATTTGTGACCAAATTATATAAATCTATGACTTCAATATATTTAATTACTAAAATAATTAATTAATTAATTAAATGATAAATAATTTTTAATAAAAATCTGATTTTTGAAATTTGAAACTTGTTTTCTTGTTTTTGAGATGTGCCATAATTAATCTCTTATTTATGAAATTTTCCCATATTAATCTCAGCTCATACTTTCATATAATCTTTATCCACACATATCTACCTGTTGCCTACCCATCATTCTTCAACAAACCATGTGTATTCGACTTGATCCACCCAGCATGGGGTTTATCTCATTTCACAACTAGCAGCTTCTATTTAATTTTGTTTCCCAATGCCCATTGGTAGTAGTCCAGCTCCTCTTAAGTTATCTAATAAGTGCATTTTGTAGACTTATACAGGTCATAACTGGGGTGTTTATTATTGATTTGAATGAATTAAAAGTCCAAAGTTTGGGGGACCAAATTGCAAGTATTCAATAGTTGATTCAAACCATATGGCATTGATTGAAGACCTTACATAATCAATTGGATGAAAGTAATAGTCAAATGATTAAAATTGCATGAGTAAACAACTCAATTGAACGAAGGATGAAAGTTTGTAGATCAAAATGTCAATCCCCAAAACTTCAGGTGGCGCGCATGAAACACATGCGCCGGCCACTTAAGAAAATCGGAGAGCAGATTTTGTCTGTGATGGGTGCGTAGAGAAGAAAACTTTGCACATGCGTGGTAATGTTTGACTAGAAAGTTTCATTACATACATTTGAGTTTGATAGCGCATTAGTATAATTCAATTTAAGGTTTATTCATCGTAAGACGATACTCTTAACTCACTTCATTATTACTTTTAATGATTTGAGTTCTATTCATTTTGACACATGATCCTTAGCCTTGTTACGTTTAGTGCACAGAAAACCAAAAGAGACAAGCTCATGGGTAAAATAGTATATATTTTCAGGTCTGCTAGTTTTAGTATTGAATAACCGGTGCATATAAATGAGTTTACATTAATCCTATTATGATTAAATTTTGTATATAGAGAGGAAAATTGCACTCAATGTCAATTTTGGGCTTTGTATTTTTAAAATTGTCACTTTTTAATAATTTTTGCAAAAATATCACTTTTGGACCTTTTTTTTTTTTTTTTACACTTGTAGACAATTTAAATCCCATATGTGTCTATAATTAATGTTGATTTAATTAGATGAAAAAGGTTGTACAAAATAGTACACAAACATTCCATCAAACCCACCCAACCCTCACCCTAGCCTCCCCCTATTTCTAAACCTAACTCGAAAACAAAATTCAAACTCATTGAAAAATTTGAAAGAAATCCTCTCGTTCATCTCTCTCCCTCTCTCACAACTTTCTCATCAGAAAAAGCTAATAAACGGTTGATTCTAGTGGACCTACCGGAGAAACTAGGGTATGGAGAGTTGTTCACGGCGATTGTCACGGTGGAGCCTCCAGTGGTGGGGTGATTGAGGTGAATTTTACCAATTTACCATTTTTCACCCATTCGTTTTCTTAAGGATAGAGGCTTGTGAAACTAATGGTGACAAGTCCAGTTCTTGACGGTGTAAGGAATTACAAGATAACATACATGGCCCTGCTTGGTAAAAAGGTGGTGCTACTTGGTTACAATTTGTCTTTTTCATGTTGAGTGCATTATTATTTTATTCGAAAAGGTTTCTGAAAATTGATATTGTCAACTTCAATTATTTGTAAGTTGCTTAAAGACTAGTATAAGATTCCCTTTCAATATCATTTCACTAAAACCCACTTTCTTTTATCTCTTGATGCGTCCACCGTGTAATAGTACTACAAGCAAAATTCTTTCACTAGCTAAGCATGTATTGGATACAGAAACCTTTTGAATTTATTTAGTCCCTGATTGGTTTGGCTAAAAATCCAAGTTTTAGTAGATTTGAATAGAAGTTGATAACAAAATTGTGAGTCTCTCGTCAAATGTATGACTAAAATGTGTTCGATCAATCGTTATGTTTGCATATTTTCTTTAATTTACCATTTTACAATAAACTATCAAGAATTATTGAGATTATTTGTCTGGACCGACAGTTAAGCCATTTATAGTTAATGAAATCTTACGTTTTAAAAAAAGTGGAACGTCATTCGTATACGAATAAAAGCTGCAATAGTAGTAACATGAAAATGATAGTATAAAATAAAATGACAAACGCTATCATTGTAACATGCAAAATACAATCTAAACCCTTAATTATCATTCGCATTTATGTGATTTGATAGAATGAGGTAAAAAAATGTGGCCCAATTGTGTCTAACTTGCTCAATCCGATTTCGTTTTCTCATTCATACGCTAGATTGAGATTTAGATCGCTTACGTCATTTCATGCACAAATTGTCTCAATGCAACACGATGAATCTCATATTATTATTCATATTTGAACATTTGAGAGAGCAATTATAAGCATTCTGCATAATTAATATATCAAACTTTAATAGCATGTAAGTTACACCCACGAACAAATTATTTTCAACCAATATCAAATCTGCGGATCGACTTTTGAAATGTATTTCCCGATATTTACAAAGTTTTAAGTTCAACATTTTAAACGTCAATCTAGATAATTTAGTTTGACAGTTGAACTGTCGGTATTTACGGCTACCAACTAACGAGAAGCATTTAATGGGTGTGATTGGTAAACATTCTTCATAACATTAAGTGTGTTCAAGGTGACAATGCCGTTAACATAAAGAAGCGTCGATTGATACTATGCATTTAATTGAGCTCATCATGTTGTAGGTTTCAACGAACATCCATCATGGTGAATGTAAGATTTTGGAAATTTGTATCACTCGCCATGTCAAAAATTGGAAGCTCGCATTTCAAAATAGTAACATAGATAGCAGTTTCCTTATGAATTGATATGTACCAATTTAATTCTTCATCTTTGCATATTTTGGCTGGAGATATATTTATTTTTGAGACTTTGAATTTCAATTCAGTTTGAGTGCAGAGATTAGGAATACCAAGTTCTTCCTTTAATCGTAATACAAGTTCGATTAGGGTGATATGTACTTGTCAGAACTATAATGGAAGCGGTTTTGTCACCTATCCATTTTCCATTCTTCATCCATATAAACAATTTTTTCCTCATGCGACACAATGATTCTCAAATGGTTACTCATACCTGAAAAATTGAGATTGCAATTATAAAAATTATGTCGATATTTAATAGTATAAAAGTGGCACATTTGAATATTTAAATACATACAATAGCAAAAGGTCAAACAAATAGTTGAAATGTCTATCCCAGCTATTTTCAAGTGTAAAATTCGACAATTGAATTGTCTATATGACAGTTTTAAAATGTCAAGTTCAACAATTGAAATGTCTCACCCCAACAGTTTCTAAATGTTGAATTCGATAATCAAACTGTCGGAACAGACAAAAAACATATATGTGGATGATTGGAACAAATTCTTCATCACATTAAGTGTAGTCATTAATAATGTACTACCAAATGACAAAATCTTCTTCCCAAATAATTTGCATAGTAAATAATTAAAAAGACAATTCTTGAAAATATTTATTGGGTTTCATTTGAAGAAATTATTTAAAACATTAATAGTGATAATTAATCAATTCTCAACTACAATATAGCAACATCTTCCCAAAAAAATAACTCAATATTTCAGTAAATATGGAATCATTCACAACAATTTGTAGGGGATATTTGTATCTTTATTCCAAAAGATTTGAAAAACCAAACAAATTAATGAATAATAATTTCGAAAATCTCGAATAATTATGAACATATTGTATTTAACATTTCAAAGTAATAAATTATAAGATAAAAATTTAAACAATTTGTAATATGTTAACCTCTCAAAATGGATGATAAATCCAACAATAATGTATTTTTGACGAAGAAATGTAAAAGATGGTTAGAAAGTTAGTGTTTGTTAATAGTAGAAGAAATTGGTTTATGTTCACTTTTCAAAATCTTTTTTTCTTTTTTTTGTTAACAAAATTAATATTACCTAATATAATCTAATCCAAATTTTTGTATATTTTCAAATTTAGTGACACTAAAGAAAAATCCCCTTAAATATAAACATGTAAACCAGTGTAGAGGCTTTGTGCTACTCTTTTTAATAAGGTTAATCCTTTTAAAATGAAACTCAAAATCTTGATACAGTCAAATTCTAGCTACATTTCTTTACTATCCTTTTAAACTTATCAATTGTTTTGCTTGATGAACCGCCTAGAGGAAAGTCTTCTTTGTGAATGTTCGAAGGTTCCAAGGTTTTGTTACGCCATTCTATATCTTCATCTTAGGTGGAGTTTTGGTTCGACTTAGTTACCACACAAAGGCTACTCATTCATTCATTCAATGAAATGTGTAATTTTTTCATAATTTGGATTAGATTATACAGTTTCACAATAGATGAGAGTCAATAACACGGTCCTTATGATATCCATCCTTCCTTCCCTTGGGTCGACTAAGTCAGATCATGATTTGCTGCAATCAGTGGCCTTGAAGGATACGGTCTTCTTGTTTAGGTCATAGCCTATCAGAAAGTTCACTTGTGCCAAGTTTCCATAAATTGGAGTTCCTTTTGTTGGTGCAAATGCAAAGCAAAGAGCAGTTTCACTTGTTCTAACAAATGTATTCAAGGTGTTCAACTCCACATACGCCCCTTTAAAGTGAAATGTAATAATCGGAACTTGTATATCTTTCGGAGAATCGTAGCATAAATTCAAGACTCCCTGTGGATCCTTAATACGCTTCAACTTAATGCGACTCGCAATTGCTGTTTCAAGATCGTTGTATAATTTCGAAGGCAAGAAAGTCAATGTCGTTCCAGAGTCTATGATAATGTTTGCTTCTTCAGCAGCATTGGGAGCATCGGGATCGTAGAAACCGAACCTCTGATTCCCTACACCTATTTCTACCAGGGTCAAATAATATAAAGTTTCATTTCGATTGAGAAATATAGGAGTCGATACAACTCCTTTGCCGAAAACATCTGCATCGTTACCAAAATGCAGTCTACTCAAGTTTGAAGTCTCAGATAAAAATGACACCAAGCAATATGAAAATTTTCCTTGCCCTGAAGAACCTAGTTGTGAAATAAACGAAACTTTTCCGGATGCAAAACCAGCAATCCCCGAATCACCAAGAGAAAATGCACCACCATTTTTATGTCCACATCCGATAGCAACACCAGGAATTGAAATTTTTGCTCCATTAGTAGAGCCTAAAGTAACGGTTTCTGTCACAAAATCACCACTCGAAAATGATCCATCTGCATACGACTCAGAATAGATGCAACTATTACTAGCCTTGTCACAAATTGTGGCAGGAAACGCCTTACACAAGAAAGAATCGCAAGCCAGTCGCCTGTAAGTTGAAGAACGGCTAGGCGTAAAGATAGGATAAGTTTGCTTAAAGCATTTAAGACAAGGTTGGCATTGCGTCCAGATAAGGTCACTGGCAGTATCAAAAGTCGCTAAGATTGGAACCTGTGGTGTACCGATGGAAAATTTCACGAAAAATTCACCGCTATCAGAAATAATGTCTGCAGCTGGCGATTGTGTGGTGTAAGCTATCCTCGTCAAATGATTGAGACGATTAAATGATCTTCTCAAAGCATTGACGGAATGTTGCCAAGGCTTCAATGTAGAATCATAGGAAGGAGAATGTGGAGATTCTCTATGAAATAGATCAATGGTAAAACCTCTGGTTCCTGCTTCAGTCGTAGGAAATATGGACATGGAAACAATGGATATTGTTAGCAAAAAACAAATATAAACTATTGAAATGGCCATGATTTTAGGATTAAACAAGGATTTTTTGTGCTAAATTGGTGGATTGTGAATGCATATATTTATAATTCACGAGAAAAATATGCTAGAATTTTTTAAAAAGAAGTTGTTTGTAATATTGTCCTAATTTTTGTATGGCTGACCAGATTTTGTATAAACTTTCATCGATTCAACTTGAGATTTTGACAAGTCATGAATTAATTTCTAGGTTACGAAAAGGTTAACATAATTTTTGACAAATTATAATGAAGGCAGAAGTGATTGATACAATCTAAGGGTGTGTCCTCAGATTAGAGTTTCATGGATTTCCTAATACTTGTGAATTCTCATAGATTTTATAGATTTGCATAAAATTTCATAAATATGATATAACTTCTTAACAGATTACCTCCAAAAAAAGAAAAAGGAAAGAAAGAAAAGAATAAAAGAAAACTGTCCATTTGTAATTAAAAAATATGATGTCCTTAACTCATATTTAATGAATATTAAAAGTCTATACCTCAATTCAGATTTTCATTAATTTCATTGAAATATAGGTTTGCCGTGAATTTCTAAGCATTTCATTAACAGGAAGGATTTTAGTAGATTTTAATCAATTTCAAGCCCAAAAATCAAATATCAAGCCTTAGAAATCGTAGCCTGACCTCACGAATAGCAGTAGATAAGCTCACAAATATAAAGTCGAATTATTTATGCATTTGACATAAATAAAAGAAATAAGTTAAATTAACTTAAGGAATAAGATATAAAACTAATATCTCATTTTCAATTCTCATTCCAAAATTTAAGTAGGAGATAAAAGAAAAGGAAAAATTGCAACAGTGATCCCTAACCTTTTCATTTTTTGTAAACTTGACTCTGACCTCCATTTTGTGTCAGCGGAAGTTTCTAACCTTTTGTAAATATGCACCTGAGGTCTATATCCTTAATCAAAGAATATTTAGTTAATATTTCTTTGGATATGATATACGACAACATAATTTTTCGGATTAAATAGAATTATAGTTTGTCAATATTTATTAGATTGATGAGATTTTAGCTCTTTTGAGTTAAAAAGAAGTAAATTTTCTTTAATAAACAATAAGTTTATTAATTTAATAATTTCAATCAATAAAACAAATATTTCCAAGAATAATAATAAAAAAAAAATTAACTCCCTCAATCTATAACTTCCATGTATATACCCACTCCAGGAAAATACATAGGAGAGATGCAAGAATTCGGGTTTTATTCATGGGCTAAAAAGAAATGAGGGTAAAGGCTTGATTTTTGGAAGATAACATCTCAAATTGGGTTCTTGGATTGTGGATATCAAATTCCTTCCATTGTGATCGAATTTCTGACCAAGAGACGGGTACAAGATGGTGCGAAAAGCAAGCGAATCAAAGGCAAGTAATTCAACCTCGATTTTGTAATTTCAAGTAAGTATCACTACTTGAAATTTGGTTATAAGCATGCAAGCACGTTTTACATTGGTATCAGAGTCTAAGTAGGTTGTTTTCTTGCATAAACAAATGCTGAAAATGTCATAGAATGATTGAAATGCATGAATTCTGATTATTCTTTCAAAGCTTGAATGTTGTTAATGGAAACTTTTCATGTACTTCATATTAATTCATGAAATTTATACTGCATATTCATGATATTATGAACTGATACGTACCAATTTAACTCTTCATCTTTGCATATTTTGGCCGGAGATATATTTATTTTCGAGACTTTGAATTTCAATTCAATTTGAGTGCAGAGATTGGGAATACCAAGTTCTTCCTTCAATCGTAACACAAGTTCGATTAGGGTGATATGTACTTGTCGGAACTATAATGGAAGTGGTGTTGTCCCTTATCCATTTTCCATTCTTCACCCATATAAACAAATTTTTCCTCATGCGACACAATGAATCTCAAATGATTACTTATACCTAAAAAGTTGAGATTGCAATGATAAAAATTATGTTGATATTTAATAGTATAAAATTGGCACATTCGAATATTTAAATACATACAATAGCAAAAGGTCAAACCAATAGTTGAAATGTCTACCCCAGCTGTTTTCAAGTGTAAAATTCGACAATTGAAATGTCTATACGACAGTTTTAAAATGTCAAGTTTAACAATTGAAATGTCTGACCTGACAATTTCTCAATGTTGAATTCGATAATCAAACTATCGGAACAGATAAAAAGCATATATGTGGATGATTGGAACAAATTCTTCATCACATTAAGTATAGTCATTAATAATGTACTACCAAATGACAAAATCTTCTTCCCAAATAATTTGCACAGTAAATAATTAAAGAGGCAATTCTTGAAAATATTTATTGGGTCTCATTGGAAGAAATTATTCAAAACATTAATGGTGATAATTAATCAATTCTCAACTACAATATAACAACATCTTCCCAAAAAAATAACTCAATATTTCAGTAAATATGGAATCATTCACAACATTTTGTAGGGATATTGGTATCTTTATTCCAAAAGATTTGAAAAACCAAACAAATTAATGAATAATAATTTCTAAAATCTCGAATAATTATGAACATATTGTATTTAACATTTCAAAGTAATAAATTATAAGATAAAAATTTAAACAATTTGTAATATGTTAACCTCTCAAAATGGATGATAAATCCAACAATAATGTATTTTAACGAAGAAATGTAAAAGATGGTTAGAAAGTTAGTGTTTGTTAATAGTAGAAGAAATTGGTTTATGTTCACTTTTCAAAATCTTTTTTTCTTTTTTTGTTAACAAAATTAATATTACCTAATAGAATATACATATACACAATGCTTATAGTGCACAAATTAAATCATCAATCATAGCATTAATGAACATTGAAATCAAGCATTAATGAGATTAAATGCTCCCAAAAATGTATTATTAAGGTAATTTGGACCTTTTATACCAAAAAAAGTGACATTTGTGAGCACTATTAATAAAAAAGACAAATTTTTGTATATTTTCAAATTTAGTGACACTTAAGAAAAATCCCCTTAAATATAAACATGTAAACCAGTGTAAAGGCTTTGTGCTACTCTTTTTAATAAGGTTAATCCTTTTAAAATGAAACTTAAAATCTTGATACAGTCAACTTCTAGCTACATTTCGTTACTATCCTTTTAAACTTATCAAATGTTTTACTTGATGAACCGCCTAGAGGAAAGTCTTCACTACGTTGATTTCCATCAAGTTTGTGAATGTTCGAAGGTTCCAAGGTTTTGTTACGCCGTTCTATATCTTCATCTTAGGTGGAGTTTTGGTTCGACTTAGTTACCACACAAAGGCTACTCATTCATTCATTCATTCAATGAAATGTGTAATTTTTTCATAATTTGGATTAGATTATACAGTTTCATAATAGATGAGAGTCAGTAACACGGTCCTTATGAATATCCATCCTTCCTTCCTTTGAGTCGACTAAGTCAGATCATGATTTGCTGCAATCAGTGGCCTTGAAGGATACGGTCTTCTTGTTTAGGTCATAGCCTATCAGAAAGTTCACTTGTGCCAAGTTTCCATAAATGGGAGTTCCTTTTGTTGGTGCAAATGCAAAGCAAAGAGCGTTTTCACTTGTTCTAACAAATGTATTCAAGGTGTTCAGCTCCACATACGCTCCTTTAAAGTGAAATGTAATAATCGGAACTTGTATATCTTTCGGAGAATCGTAGCACAAATTCAAGACTCCCTGTGGATCCTTAATACGCTTCAACTTAATGCGACTCGCAATTGCTGTTTCAAGATCGTTGTATAATTTCGAAGGCAAGAAAGTCAATGTCGTTCCAGAGTCTATGATAATGTTTGCTTCTTCAGCAGCATTGGGAGCATGGGGATCGTAGAAACCGAACCTCTGATTCCCTACACCTATTTCTACCAAGGTCAAATAATATAAAGTTTCATTGTGATTGAGAAATATAGGAGTCGATACAACTCCTTTGCCGAAAACATCTGCATCGTTACCAAAATGCAGTCTACTCAAGTTTGAAGTCTCAGATAAAAATGACACCAAGCAATATGAAAATTTTCCTTGCCCTGAAGAACCTAGTTGTGAAATAAACGAAACTTTTCCGGATGCAAAACCAGCAATCCCTGAATCACCAAGAGAAAATGCACCACCATTTTTATGTCCACATCCGATAGCAACACCAGGAATTGAAATTTTTGCACCATTAGTAGAGCCTAAAGTAATGGTTTCTGTCACAAAATCACCACTAGAAAATGATCCATCTGCATACGACTCAGAATAGATGCAGCTTTTACTAGCCTTGTCACAAATTGCGGCAGGAAACGCCTTACACAAGAAAGAATCGCAAGCCAGTCGCCTATAAGTTGAAGAACGGCTAGGCGTAAAGATAGGATAAGTTTGCTTAAAGCATTTAAGACAAGGTTGGCATTGCGTCCAGATAAGGTCACTGGCAGTATCAAAAGTCGCTAAGATTGGAACCTGTGGTGTACCGATGGAAAATTTCACGAAAAATTCACCGCTATCAGAAATAATGTCTGCAGCTGGCGATTGCGTGGTGTAAGCTATCCTCGTCAAATGATTGAGACGATTAAATGATCTTCTCAAAGCATTGACTGAATGTTGCCAAGGCTTCAATGTAGAATCATAGGAAGGAGAATGTGGAGATTCTCTATGAAATAGATCAATGGTAAAACCTTCGGTTCCTGCTTCAGTCGTAGGAAATATGGACATGGAAACAATGGATATTGTTAGCAAAAAACAAATGTAAACTATTGAAATGGCCATGATTTTAGGATTAAACAAGGATTCTTTGTGCTAAATTGGTCGATTGTGAATGCATATATTTATAATTCACGAGAAAAATATGCTAGAATTTTTTAAAAAGAAGTTGTTTGTAATATTGTCCTAATTTTTGTATGGCTGACCAGATTTTGTATAAACTTTCATCGATTCAACTTGAGATTTTGACAAGTCATGAAT